TTCTACTGGAGTTGCTAAGGGCCTTTTCCTACCATCTATCAGCTTCTTAGTTAACTTTCTATAGGATGTGTACTGGACCTAAACAGTTTGCTGTCTATGACTACTTTTTCCAGGATACCTACGAGGTGTCTTGGTAGACGTTATCATCACAAAGCCAATAATTTATGTTTAGCTTGGGTGTCTGAAACAATACAAACTTATAAATAACTGCTCCAGTGCGCTGTTTAGTTGCTGAGCTTTTGTGAACCAAAAATGTCAGTGGTTACTTGTAACTCTTTACGTCAAGCAGCTCTTTTTGGCCATATAGAATTCTTTCAGAAGTTATATGAAGGAATCACGGTGCTCGTAGGCAAGTATCCATATTTTTATATTTGCTACTTTTGAAATTCCTTTGTAAGTTGTACGTGTTTGGTTTTATGGAAGTGGCTCTGTCTTTCCATAAGCGTAATTTGCTTATCCCTGGATGAAGATATGTAGAGGTTATAGGTTAAATAACAACGCCAAGACTGGCAACATTACAACATAAATAGTATACAAATATATTTGTAAAAAATCTCAGATTTAAGGTTTTAGAAGAAAACTATAGAGATTCGCCATTAAAACGTTTTTCTATAGTCTATTATTTCAATGAAAACAACCCTCATATAATGGAAGCTGTACATTTATTCAAATACTTTTAATAACGGAACGTTGTCTGAATGCATGTATTTATTAGCGTGAATGGCGAGGGGTGAGGGTGAAATACAACGTCATCATCGCCCCTAGAACGTTGAGAGGGTGAGAGTGTGTGTTCGGGGTCGATGGCAGAATATTGATAAAAGTACTCCATCGACTCCATTCTAGATTAGTTTGAGTATAGAGTCGGTGGAGGAATTGATATATATACTCCACCGACCAAACGGAATGACTGTACTGTATGGATGTATTTATGTGTATGAATGTATTTATTTGGATGAATGTAGTGTCTGAAAGGGTAAACAACTTAGTTGGGGCTGAAATGGCCTAGATGTTGGAAGCCACAATAAAAAATATTTTTAAAAAAACCGGAACATAACTTTATATACAAAGGATTTGAATTAGGGACAGTTGTAGTCCTCTACATATATAGGCGGTGACCTAAAGTTCAGTGGCCGATTATTTTAAGGTCAGACTCAGTTCCTCTTTTGGCATGAAAAATTGAAGATCGGTGAATTTTCCAAAGAGAGCTAAAAAAGACATCGAAACACGATCAAATACAACGGAAATCTGAATCTTTAATAAACAAGAAAAAAGTGTATAAGTGCCTCATGGATCAAAGTGCCTCTTTAATAATTATGATTTAATGTTGAAAATGGATTTCTTAGTATAACAAAGATTATAAATCATATTCCTCGAAGTGTAGCAATCATACGGACCAAGGATGTATATGACTGACATATTCACTCCGATCCTTTGACATGACAGATATATTTTAATATTATTCCCACCCGGGTGATTTCTATAACGGTTTTTTCCATATTCCAACAGGATAAATCAAGTGTTAAAGCACTTCGGTAATTTCTTATTCGTAACTTGATACTGAACTGAATTAAACTCAGTGGCCTGAGTCCATTAGAAAAATTATTTCATCGAGAGTGGAAAGACATGCGAGCGCAATTTTTTAGGCTTAGAGTGTTGAGTACCACTTCATGCGGCGACATCTTCCAGTAATACTTTTACGGAAGAGACACTGTTTATTGGAATGAACGGTAGGAGCGATATTATGAAGTTGAGGATTTAAAAGCCGAAAATCCAATTATGTTATGTTACACCCAAATTTGGGCTAATTAGCAAACTCCATTATATATGATTTTAATCAGGACGTGAAAGCTACATGCTCACCCCCATAAAAAGATATAAAATAGCAAAAGACAGCACTGTTTAAACGAAAAAAAACATGATTTAAAAAAAGGGTAAATTTTTTATTATGCTTAATTTAACATGAATTTAATAAAAAAATATATAAAATGATGAAAAGTATTTTGATACACAATAAGCGAATAGACATTAAGTATTTACTGGGCAATTACTATTGTTATTAAAATACTAACAACGTAAATACTGCTTGAAGAGTTTATTACCCTATTAATTGCCTACAATAATGCAAATTGATAATTAGAAAATCCGTTATTCCTCCAGACAAAAAAATTTTTTAAGAAGAATTAATGATACCATGATACCAAACGACTCAAAACATAGATGTCATTATAAGGTTTTGTGTTGCAAACATAAATAAACTACAATAAACGTTAGAGGAGTTTCTTAGGTTCTAGAGATAACACGTGGTCCTTAACTAACTTATTTTTTTCTTAAGTGCACAGATGCCCTATCATCACGTTTAATCTAAATTGGTGGAAGAATATATGCTTTTCACAAGTTTCAGCTTATACTCGAGGTATATACAAAAAAATTATAATAATTAAATTAATATTTTTAATAAAACCCATGCATTTCTGATCCTAATATAACGATAAAAACTTATAGTTTGAAATGAACAAAATACGAGCGTTCGGTATTTTTTGTCTTTAAAAATATATTTTTGTGAACTGGGGGGGGTAATCATTGTCGTAATATACCTAGGTAGCTACTGAATTAATCGAATGTATTTATTAGCGTGAACGTTGGAATATGATTGGGTATATTGTACTGATACACTAAAATCGATTAACCTATTTAATTTTATGTATATTTGCAGTGTTATAGAATGTAGTTTCTGCAGAAATATTAAAAAACCAGGTGATTGCCCGACTGTGCGAATGTATTTATTAGCGTGAACGTTGGAATATCATTGGGTATATTTGTACTGATACACTAAAGCCGACTAACCTATTTAATGTTACGTATATTTGCAGAGTTATAGGATGTAGTTTCTGGATAAATATTAAAAACCAAGGTGATTAACCTACTGTGCGAATGTGTTTATTAGCGTGAACGTTGGAGTCTGCTTGGGGATGTTTGCAATGATACACTAAGTCGACTAATCTATTTAATGTTATGTATATTTGCAGTGTTATAGAATGTAGTTTCTGGATAAATATTAAAAACCAAGGTGATTACCCTACTGTGCGAATGTATTTATTAGCGTGAACGTTGGAGTCTGCTTGGGGATGTTTGCAATGATACACTAAGTCGACTAACCTATTTAATTTTATGTGTATTTGCAATGTTATAAACTGTAGTTTCTGCAGAAATATTAAAAAACCAGGTGATTACCCGACTGTGCGAATGTATTTATTAGCGTGAACGTTGGAATATCATTGGGTATATTTGTACTGATACACTAAAGTCGACTAACCTATTTAATGTTATGTATATTTGCAGTATTATAGAATGTAGTTTCTGGATAAATATTAAAAACCAAGGTGATTAACCTACTGTACGAATGTATTTATTAGCGTGAACGTTGGAGTCTGCTTGGGGATGTTTGCAATGATACACTAAGTCGACTAACTTATTTAATTTTATGTGTATTTGCAATGTTATAAGCTGTAGTTTCTGCAGAAATATTAAAAAACAAGGTGATTACCCGACTGTGCGAATGTATTTATTAGAGTGAACGTTGGAGTATATATAGGTGTGTTGAATGTAGAGTAGCAATAGACATAGCAAAGTAGTTATTTAGTTTTGTACATATTTTAATGTATATATGTAATATCAAAAGCCTGATTTTGTGAATGTATTTATTTTCATGAATGCTTAAGTGTGTATGGACACGGTCTGTGTGAAATATCGAATACCCACTGACCTGTCGAACCAATTGGATTAACTAATAAAGTGAATGCGAGAGTTTTACTATGCATGAATGTACTTACTGGCGTGAATAAAGAAAGGAATTTAAGTTGAAAAACGCCATGCTGGGTGGTGACTCAGTAGTATAGTGGTAGGCCCTAACAAAAATAATTTTAAGAAAAACAATATTGTTTAAATATTAACATGTGCTTTATTTTTTGTAGTTATAAATTAATCAAATCAATTATAGCATTTTAATTAACAAATCAGAAATGCAAACTAAAAGAGTGAAGTTTTCAACAACAAATCTTTGTTTAATTAGGCAAAAAAGAATATTTTGAGAATGAACGTAGTGCTGATTAATTATTATCTCTCGTGATAATCGAGTTTCAATTGAAACAACAGACTGTTTCAACCCACCCTTTCGCCGAAAGCCATTCGATTTTTGGACAAGAAAAATAACGTTTGATCAAACTTAATCACCTCGTAAATCGCCGAAAAGCTGTAAATACGGGCCTCATTGAAGTCGTAAATATTTCAGAAATGAGCTGCCCCAGTGGAACGGAAGTGTCACACGTCATGAGTTTCTTCGTGACAATTTCCCTCTCATTCGACAAATTAGACGTATGGTGTATCACGGATTTTATATTGGCCAATAAAAAATAAAGTGCTTTAATCCTATGACTGGGAGGGGTCGATCGGTTATTTGAATTCCGCGTTTCCCTACAATCTGTGGGAGGCAAACGGCCAACCCTCACGGAGCAATTTTCCTTCTCTCTTCAAAAACCTACAAAAAAACATATACTTAAAAAATATCTGAGAAGATAATTTAGGTAAAATAAATACAAAATGATAACAGAATATTGGCAGAATGTTAAGTTGATTTTTTTGTGACATTTCCCCGTTTGAAAAATCAATCCGATCATAAACTTAAATAACGCTTAACACGTCAACAAGTTATAACAAAAACAATCCGTTTAAAACAACGTAAGCCGACTAGCCACACAACCCTTTAGGTTCATGAAATCATCCTACGCTTTTCAGTAAAAGCCATTTAAGACTTTTTAAGTGATTAAATACCAGCCAAATATCAAGTATTGATTTCCATTTGTCAGTGTTATTTGCAGTATTTTTGAAAGAGAACCAAATTTTTTTTAACCTATATGATAAGCATATGAAAAACACAAATTCAACAAAACTTCTATTGTTCTCAAAATAATTAATTGACACTAAATTTCCAATTTTATTTCCAGGACGTGACTTTGAATCGAAAAGATTCTAAAGTCAGAGTCGGCGAGAGTTTTCGTTTTACATGTCACGCCCAGGGTTCGTCGAGAATTCAGTTCCGTTGGTTCAAAGACGGTGCTCCTGTTAACGGATCCATTGCTATCAGGTAACTATATTTTATAATTACTTGAATAATGTATAGTTTAAGAAATAACAATCACTATAATTGGTTCATTTGTATTTAGAATATTGATATTGTTTTAATTTCATTTGTTGATGTCGTGAGGAGCGGTCAAGAAAGATGTAGTTTAGAAAACAATTTTTTCATTTCTAATGCCAATGTTTCGACATTTATCCGGGTCATTTTCAGGGCATAAAGTATGGTGCTATTCTTGTGGTGCTATATTGGTTTTGTTTGAAATTGTTGTGGTTGTATATTTTAGTCAAACATTTAATAGGAATCTCATATAATAATAAAACTTAGAAAATCTATTTTACTTTAAAAAACCTGGCTTGACAATTTATATGTCAATTCGAAGACCAGACCGTATTGACTGTTTTCAATTTTCGTGAAATGTATGTTTTTTTGCACAATACGCAATGCAGATTTATTCAATATTAATAAAAACATTGAAATATTGTTCTCATAAAAACTTTAAATAACACTAGCAAGTAGAATTCAATAAAAGTAAAGTAAGTTCTGTCATACTGGAGGGTTTATTATTATTATTATTTTTTCGAGGGTATTTCACCTACAAGGTTATTTGAACCTTCTGGTGCTGTTCTTAAAAAAAATTCGTAAGTATGTCGGCCTGGAATGCAGGACTGCTGGATTCGAACCCGGGACCTTTAACTTACAGCGATGAACGCCGTGTCAACGCCTAAACCGTTGGAGCCACCGACTCCCCGACTGGAGGGTTCAACCCAACTAATGGGTGTCTTGGACGAGAGGTCCGGTCGAGATTAAAATACCTTTATCCATCATTTACAATTTTTGTGAGAAATTGTCGTCACACTTTCACAGAAATTCGGGATGACACGACAAGAATAACACTACACTTTATGCCCTGAAAATGGACCGATTAACTGTCGAAACGTCGGCGGAACATGAAAAAGGAGTTTTTCTAAACGACCTCATTCTTGACCGATTCTCACGACGAACAAATTATGAAACAACAGGTCGCTAAGGGACACACATTATAATTTGATGTTAAACATGCTAGGCAACAGACAAATTGAAGTGTGTATGCTAACCCGCCAGGACAAAATTGTCTAATTTTCTTTTGCCATTATTGCCTTTATTCAACATAAATCGTTTTGTCTATCTCTTTGACGTATTTTGAATGGATCGTTTAAAATATAACTCCGGATATTTGATGCTCTTTGGAAGCGGTGTCTCTTAAAACGTGACACCACGAGTTTACGACATGGCCCATCAATCCTACGTGCGATATGCCCCCTGACTGCGGAGAATAACAAGCCGTTTCCGCAACATTTTGTTTTTCATCCGTGCTTTGTACAAATAAATGATGCCGCGTAAATTTTTTTTTCAATTAATATTATCAAAACATTTCAACATTAAAAAACTAAATAAATTGGCCACGGAGAGTTTTAATGACCAATTAATTGGTCAAGCGGACCACGAAATTAGTGAATTTAATGATTAAAATGAAGTACACTTCACTAAAGCTCTCCGTGGCCATTTCATTTTCGTCGAGAATCCAATCCGATTACACGACATTTGAAAAATAGCAAAAAGGAGGGAAAACTCATAAGGTGGGGTTGAGATAGGAAGTTGGTGTCCGAGTGGATCGAGGTCACAATAGCTCAAGTGGTAGAGCAGCGGCGTATCTAGGCGAAGATCGTGGGTTCGAATCCCGTTCGTGCCATTAACTTTTTTTCATCTCAACTAAAAACCTTAATTAATTGTAATGTTATCTAGTGTTAACTCGAATAGAGAAATGTCCAGTAAGATCGAGAACGCCCCCTTCTTTTCTTAGCATGTCAAACGTTAATTTTTCCGCAATGCTGCGCGTGGCGATTGGGAGAACCAAAAATAAAGCTATAACAGTCATTGAAGGCTTGTTGTTGTTTGTTTTGGTTTTATTTTGTGTGAAATTATAAGACGCTAGAAGTTAAGGTCTAACAGCCTTCAACATTATAGGATAGGGGATGTATCTATTATGAATGAGAGTATAAGGATAGATCAGAAAATAACAAAAGAAATGTATTGGTCTGATTTAATTAAGCCGTATTTAAAAATAAAAATACGTGTAAACAAAAAACAGCTGTTAAATTCAAGACTGCCATGTTGGTTACCTCCGCCCTAACGGATAAAACGGAGCAATGTGACTCCATTTTCGACCTAACATCTAATCTTGGCCTAGATCAAGAAATGTTAAGTAGCCAATTCTTACAAATCTACGTCATTATTTTTCTCGAGGTAACAGAAACTAACAGAGTTAACAGGGTTATCACAAAGGTCGTGATTACCCGTGGTTATTAACAGGAACAAAACGCAAGTTATGTGCAAGGTTGTCGTTGATGTATTTCCAAATAATCAGGGCTTGTTTCAAAAGATAAACTAAATTTATACATTACATATTTTCATACGTATAAAATGGAATATAATTATTTAGTATGAATTGATTATTATTTTAATTCAGTTCTTATTGATGACCTATGCCTGCTTCTCATAATCATTATTATTAAATCAATTTGAATTGTACATATCATTGAATTGTTAGGATTGCACTATGATAAATTAGTGTAATTGTAATTCTAAACATTATGATGGGAAGTTTTTACCCAATAACCCTCGTTTTAGTACCAGAGCATACAGGATTGAGGGGAAACGATAACAATAATTAGGCCAAGGAAAGTTCGATGAAGATACTATCTTCAAAGAACCCTTTAGAGGCATGGCAAATGGCGAAAAAGTAGATCTATGAGACAGTGGTTTAAAAACAAATCCTTGGTACCATGGAATTGTACTCATTAAAGGACCAGTACTTACGACAAAACTTCTAAAACTTGAACCTGTTTGGATTTGCATGGTAGATCGCAGATTCCTGAAGCACATATATAAACTTTTTGATTAAACTCCATCTAGTAGAGTGGCCTTAAAATGAAAGTAGGAAAATACTAGCTGTTCCTCTGATAAACGGTCACTCCCCTACGTTAAATATTTACGACCCTAACAGGACTACGACGACTCATTAGGGTCCAGGTTCGAATCTCAGCGTCCTGAATACACCCAATGTCCTTTCATATGGGCGTATTTTCAAAAGTAATAGGTAGAATATTACCTAATATCCGAATGTATTATTGTTTCAAAGTTAATGTATAAAATAAAGTTACCACTTTGAATTAATGTTCTTAATTTTCTTCAGTACCAATTATTCAGAATATAAAGTGGGAAAGACAAAATATGATTTTTTTTTCTTTTTAGAAACATATCCGTCACGACGGGCCCCGAGGACACTTCGGAGCGGCGTAAGTCTTTCCTTCTAGTCTCGAACGCCCATCCACTTGACGAAGGCGACTACACATGCCAGGTATTCGATTGGGGCGTGCAGCAATGCAAATCCGTCCGACTTTCCGTGATACAGCCACTGCAGGTGAAAGTATCTCCCATGAGTTCAACTGTTCAAAAGGTAAGTTATTTAAATTATGAATGTAGGCACTGTTAACCGATTGTTAATTCTTATGCTCTTATCCGCCCTGTTTTCTCTCACTAAGAAAACTCACTGAGCTATAAACATTTGTTCGAACGCTTCAAAACTATTCAATAAAGCAAAAGTTTGGTCTAAGCATTTCGGCTTGTCGCTATCTTCAGTAGCGGGTTGGTGTTGGTGGTACACTCTGCTTATTAGTTTGGCCAACTTTGTGATATTAACGACGGATATAAAAATTGTCAAATGTTGGCAAGCAACAGAACTACAGATCCATTATGTCAGAAACTTAACAAAATATCAATCTATGATTCGACAATCGTGTTCATGGTGTGTGACAATATCCTTACCTGCTCAATGAAAAAAAAATCAAAATAACAGCCAAGATCGAACCAAACCAACTATTTAGTTTATATCTGTTGACATTTAGCATTTGTCGTTTTAATAGGGAAGCAACCTGACCATGCGTTGCTTTACGTCTAACAAGCCTGGGAGAAGGAAACTGGGTTATAATTGGACGAAGAACAAAGCCCTCTTTCCGATGGTGCCTGGACTGATTTTCTGGGAAGACCTATATCCAGACGGTTCCATACTGAAACTCCGTAACATTCAGGTAAGTGTTTGTACGATAAAGGTAAATTAATTTAGATAATAGTTTTAAAGCTTTTTTGTAGAATAATTATGTTTTACGTAACCTTTTCTCTGCCATTCTTAGCCAAGGAGCATCCAACCTATTTAATTAAAATTCTATTTCCCATTTTCGACATTCAAAGACAAGCAAGAATACACAAAATAGCATATTGATATAAAAAATGTGTATACTTGAATTTGGTTGTTACATTATAAAAGTACTTGTCATCTTTATTTAAGTCCAATTTTCCCTAATGTTTTCATGAAGTATTAGAAATTTTACGGAGCATTTTTTTACAAAGTAAGGATGCTTTTGATGTATAAAAATTAATGTTAATATTAATATCTTGTGAGTAATGCTATTCTTGCCTAACAAAAAGAGTTGTTGTTTATTCATCAAAGTTGCTGCAGATTTGAGCACGTTTTCGCCGGGCTAATAAACTGCCCAAATAAATTTAAGGCAATAAAAAAAATACTTTCGAGAAAATGCCGAGGTTGTTAAGACGTCCGATATGTGAAAATATCTCAATGCGGTTTACCCCTTGCCCACGACACGTGAAAGAAGGGTAAAGTAAATTTTACTTCCTCGCTCACTTTTATTTTGAGTGGTTATGAATGTTAGTTTAAGCAATATTTTCAATTGATCGTTTCAACAACAAAATACAATAAAAATAACCATTATTAGTTTGTTCGATGTTCTAGTACTTTCTATTTAAGATAGAGGGTGTTTTGTTATGAGATTCGAAAAAAGCACGGTGATAGATGGTATTTTGCTATGAGATTCGGAAAAACCACGGTGAGAGAAAGTGTTTTGCTCTGAGATTCGAAAAAAGCACGGTGATAGAGGGTGGCTTGCTATGAGATTCGGAAAAAGCACGGTGATAGAAAGAGGTTTGCTCTGAGAATCGGAAAAAGCACGGTGATAGAATTTTTCTAAAAAATTAATCATCTCTAAATGTTTCAGCATGTAAAAAAAGGTTGACCGGTGTGTCCCAACCACTTGAAAGGTGCGATTGCTTCATAATGAGGGCATGTATGAATGCCACGCGATTTGAGAATCGTGCTTGAGCACGCTTGATCTAGTTCTCCTGTTTCGATTTTTGGAGATAACTGGGTTGTTTTATTGTACATAGTACTGATAGTTTTGTGTTCATAGGATGTGCTTGAAAGTGAATGTATTTATTCACCTGAAGGTGTTATGTATGAGGGTTGATCGGGGAATATTGAGCACCCCATCGACCTTTTTTGGGTTAGTTATACAACAGGTGTGATTGGTGATGGAGGAATATCGAGTACTCTGCTATTCCAACTGAGCGAATGGCATGTAAAAACGAAATAATGTATTTAGGAGTGTGTGGTGATTAATTACCGTTAATCAAGAATTATTCAGAAATCGTGAGATGCGGTGTGATGTAGGTTTCAGAAAAATATAATACTGAATAATTATCGATTAACGGCCTTTAATCACCACACATTTCTTCACGAGAAGAACGAAGAACATTCTAGGAACAAATTTCAACTACATATGGACACACAGCTAAAAGTATTCTGAAGGACATCGCCAACAATGAGAAGAAACTCTATCAACCAGAGAACTTTTTTGCTGAAATGCAGACAACACAAGGTATTTCCTACTCACATAAAAAACAATTTTAACTTCACAAATGCCACAGTAACACAGCCAACCAGAATAACGACATACATAAAGCCACAATAAATTTCAAACGAAACATTTAAAACATAGAAATCACCACGAGCATCAAAAACATTAAGACATTAACACAAAAATTACACCAATTAAAAGGGCACTCTCAACACGACACGCCAGAATGGCACAATTACACAGAAGACAAACACTTTGAGCCCTGCAGTTAAGGAAGAAATGATATGTGGATAACCTTGGATACCAACCTCGGGGCTGGACGGTTAACGATCAGACTCCAGGCTGATTCTCGAGGCCTGCCGGAAATTTGTTGTAAGTTGCAAATGCTAAAATTTACGGTGCACTGCGACAATGATGGGCTCAATCAGTAAATGAGTGTGCAGATTTGAGCTTATATAAATCAACACAAGTGTATTAATGGTTTTAGACCAACTGTATACTGGCGAAAACCTATAAAATTTAAACATTGGATAATCTTTGACGAACTTGAAGAAAAAGAATCGCTTTGAAGAAACTTTCTAGACAATTGATTCATTTTTATGTGGGGTATTGGTTTAGATGAAAAATGGTAAAAAGGAGAAAAGTTTGAAAGGTGGGTTGAGAGGGGAAGTTGGTGTCTGAGTAGATCGAAGTCACGATAGCTCAAGTGGTAGAGCAGCGGCGTATTTAGCCGAAGGTCGTGGGTTCGAATCCCGTTCGTGACACTGACTTTTTTATCTCAATCAATACCTTACATTAAAATTAATTAAGTAAAAGAAGTTATTTGGTCATTGGGAGCACGAAATATAATGGATTTTCTAGACAATATTGAATTTCACATTAAACATCTTCATTTAATAATATTTGGAATGGTATGCGTGGTAGGATGGGTACATTTTTGCGTGGAATATAGTAGATTAAAAAAAGTGTATTGTAAGTCCATCAAAGCTAAAAGATGTAAACTCTTCATTTTACAAAATTCAGAGGCTTTTTAGATCCAGAAAAATATATTAAAAAATAATTTTAAATAAGTAATAAAAAATAATTTCTAATTTGTACTTTGGAAATTCAATATTTGATTTAAATTCCAATAAACTGATAATTTTACAATATCATAAAAAAGTCAATGCTTCGGTTTTATTTCCGCCGTAGTATTACGAACTTTCTGTAAATGTGCATAGGCCACAATCGGAGAAATTTAATTGATTTTAGACTTCTTTGGAGCAGGTGGTTGATTGTCCCCGTTCTTGGTAGATAGAAGCGCAAATTTATTTGATGTATTTAGACGGGAAGTGGTAGAAGTATAGAGATTTAACTTCCGGTTTGTAGATTAACACCTCTCAACAAGTTGCTTTGAGGGTCGTCATAGATGTCCAGGTTGTCTGTTTTTTCATGTCAACAACTTGTTGTGTAGTGTACAGCTGATGGATTGTTCTCGTATTCCGTTCTAAAAATATTCATGCACAAGGGAAAAAATTCACTCGTTGTGGAGCAGCTCAGTTGGAAAGAAGAACGCCGGATTACAATTAATAATTAAAAAAATAGAGTTAAATTTGTTTAACATTAAAAGGAAACAGATTGTGATCTGTATAACTTATCGGAATACAATTTATTAATATTTATTGTTTCCTATTTACGTATGTAAACAATGTTTCTAGAAAAAACCGACCAACAAAAATATTAATACTGGTAGATTCACTAATTTCGTGGTCCGCTTGACCAATTAATGTATTACAATTAATTAAGGTTTTTTAGTCGAGATAAAAAAGTCAATGGCACGAGCGGGATTCGAACCCACGATCTTCGGCTTGATACGCCGCCGCTCTACCACTTGAGCAATCGTGACTCGATCGACTCGGACATCAACTTCCCATCTCAACCCCACCTTTTGAATTTTCCCTCCTTTTTGCAATTTTTCAAATGTCGTGTAATCGGATTGGATTCTCGACGACAAATGAAATGGCCAGGGAGAGCTTTAGTGAAGTATACTTCATTTCAAATCATTAAATTCACTAATTTCTTGGTCCGCTTGACCAATTAATATACTACAATTAATTAAGGTTTTTTAGTCGAGATAAAAAAGTCAATGGCACGAGCGGGATTCGAATGTCGGGATTATTTCGACTAAAAAACCTTGATTAATTGTAATATATTGATTGGTCAAGCAGACCACGAAATTACTGAATTTAATGATTTGAAATGAAGTATACTTCACTAAAGCTCTCCGTGGCCATTTCATTTGTCGTCGAGAGTCCAATCCGATTACACGACATTTGAAAAATTGCAAAAAGGAGGGAAAATTCAAAAGGTGGGGTTGAGATGGGAAGTTGATGTCCGAGTGGATCGAGTCACGATTGCTCAAGTGGTCGAGCGGCGGCGTATCAAGCCGAAGATCGTGGGTTCGAATCCCGCTCGTGCCATTGACTTTTTTATCTCGACTAAAAAACCTTAATTAATTGTAATACATTAATAGGTCAAGCGGACTACGAAATTAGTGAATTAAAACATTAAATTATTATGATTAATTACAAATAAAAATCATTGTAACAAATAAGGAACAAAGGATTTGTATATATTCCACATGTAATATCTCTATATCTGTTTCATATTGAAATACAATACATGAAAGATAGATATAATGTTGGATAATAGGATGCAATGGAATATCGTATGCAACAGTAAAAATATCAAAAGCGTGGAGATATAACGTTCAATTAATTAAATTCGTAGCTATTCAATAGGAAAGAAACCTTTTGATAAGGTAAAAAGTTTAAAATTAAATGAAATGCAAGCTTTGTATAAACGCTAGGATATAAATAAATTTTCATTAAAAAGAAAAAAAGGGACGTAATAATTCAAAAACATTTCCTTGTATATTAGAGACGATTGTGAAGAGAATTCTCCCGAGGCGGTGCCATTTTTTCCTTTTGTACACCTAATATAATATTCCTCTGGCTATATTTGAGACAAGTGGAGTCGGAATAAGGCTATGCTTTTGACAAGTAAATCAACCTCAAAAAAAAAAAAAAAATCCTCGTGGGTCTTCTCCGTCAACGACAGGGAACTCTTTCCATGTCTATTTCATTAATTAACCGTCGATTAATAACGAAGATGTCACGGGCAATCCTACTCGACTTATAAAAATCCACTCGTCACACAATGACGCTCAACGTAGCCCGGAAGACAATTAACCCGTATGGTGTCATTCATAAATTCGAGTCCAGTGTGATAAGTGAATTAATAAGCGGGGGTGAATTCTGATTTCATTTGTGGAAATATCCCTGAGGATTCCAATACCTAACCTAAAAATAAATTAATTGAAAGATGTTATTTGGTCAACC